GTATTGACCAGCTGCATAGAAAATAGCATCAGATTTGTCAACAGCATGAAAAATAGCCACTGAGAAACCAGCAAATTTTTCTGCATCCTAATACTTCCAATGCCAAAGTGAATATCTAACATATGACATGGAAGAAGAAAAATACCTGTTTATATCAGGAGTTGGAGGTTTCCTTGCTAGGGAACTGCAGACTGATCAGATAAAGGATGCTTAACCCTGGTCGATATTTTCTATGAAATGATGGTAGTCTTTCCAAAAAGTAATCTTGAGAGTACTCACTGTTGGTTTTACCAGTCTCCTGGAGCAAAACCTCCAACTAGAAGCTGTGTCCCGGAAAGGCTCCCAGGTGCTTCATAGCCACAAGGAGCACGAATGGACAAGACTCAGACAGAGACAAGTGTTTCTCCTTTTTCTCTGTACCTGCTGCCATGGAAAAAAAACCCTTTTATCCAGCCTGAAAGACTTCTGGGAATGTCACCAGTCGTGATTTGGAGCCTCTTTTGTCAAACCCTCATCATTGTCACAGCCACCACATGGGACTTGATACATTTTACATGCCACAATTAATGAATTTCAGCAGATGATTTTCCTCACTGGCATGTTTCCTGCCTCTCTGGGGCACTTCATCTGTCACGGACAAACGGGATGGGGATTTGTGGAAGTGTTAATGGGGTGGCTTTCCTCAAAGCCGTCAAACTGTGTGTGTGTCAGGTTGGGAATTTTTGACAGTCTTCTGGGAAATTTATGGAATTCTCCAGAGGGGAGCTCCTTCCCCAGGTATACAGGCAATTACTTTTTTTGATGCTTGTTTGGAGATAATGATTTAATTGTGACAGGCATTGCTTTTACAACACAGCGAGATAGCTCAAGAAATGAAAGTACACTGATTACAAGAAAGATGGCATAAAACAGGGGTTCATAAAATACGCTATTTACCCTAAAAATACTAAAACAAGAAAAACATTTATGTGTGAGAGTATTACAGTACTCATAAATCAAAGCACTGTAAGAGCAAATGAAAGAAAAATGAGGCAATTAGTTCTCACCTTATGTATATTATATGATATTCCCTCCCAGATTTTATAAACAAATAAAGTATATTAAAAAACCCAGACCATCGCTGCTTCTGGTGCATACTAAACACAAAGATGAAATTGTGATCAAAAGAGTTCAAATCAAACTTAATTATTTCGTTATTTCGTCTTTTCTTTCAGTTTCTAATAACATCATAAAAGTTTTCAGCTTGAAACACTGGTGGAAATGAAACATTCACGGTATCTTTTTCAGAGGCTGGAAGGCGTATGCTTGGAATGGTTTCTGCTCTGGAATGTCTGTAATATATCGAAGCCTTAATGCCTTGCTAATTGGTACCTCACTAATTAGCTTGTGACAAGAATTTTAATTAGATGCATAGTGGAGGTTCTCCCTATCTGCAGTGGAGGAGCTATTTCCTGAGCAGAAGAGCAAAGGCAAAAAGGTAGTGGAAGGGATCAATAGAAGACAGATATAATCTAATTGCTGCTATGGGAAGATTGTACATTAATTGATATTTTTCCAAATTACATCTCTGATCATTTGTTCTGTTTTGTAAAGTACATTAAAGTTCACTTTGTGATTTGCTCTCTTCCCCTGTAGATCAAACAGTGCTTTTTTTTTTTCTGTGACTTGACTTGTGTTAGAAGGAAAATGAGAAATAGTGGAACATGACTGTGGACAATTATGTTCAATGCCAGCCCCAGAGCCTGAGCCAAGTGTATCCCAGGCACAAAGCATGAGTCTCTGTAATCTGAGCTAAAGAGCTAAGCTGCAGACACGTAAGCTTGACCAAGGTGAGCAACACTGAAAAGGGAGATGCCCAACACCCATGACCAATGGCATCAGCTGAGCCTGGGGTGTAACACATTCTAGAGTTAAAATGCATGCGAAAAGCTTGTGAGACACCGTTGAGTGAATTCCTATCAATGGCGACTCAAAAATGACAATATGGATGAGTATCATCTATCATTTTTCTATTTGGGTGGTGAGGCTCTGCCCAGAGAAGTTGTGTCTGCCCCGTCCCTGTCAATGTTCAAGTTCAGTTCAGATGGGACTTTGAGCAGCTTGGTCTAGTGCAAGGTGTCCCTGACCATGACAGATGGACTGGAACTATTGCTACATCAAATCCAAACCATTCTATGAGTCTGTGATTTTCCTTCTATCAGAAAAAGATGTGAAGGAGGGATAGAAGATACCTAGCTGAAATAACTACCACCGCTAGTGTTCTCTTTAGCTTCATGGCATATACCCATTGCAGAGGATTTTAGAATTGTCATTTGAGGTGAAAGCTGGTTTAGAATCTGCAAAATATCTAGTGCAGTGAGAGTCTTAAAAATATAAATACAAAGTTTCTTCCCTCTCCAAGGAAGCCTGAGTTGTGTGTGTGTAAATATAAAGTTATTTGTCAGGCCTGCTAATCCCCGTAAGCCACAGCAGTGAAAAGTAGATAATGGAACATTCAGAAAAATGGTGTTCAGATCCAGGAAATATTTTCTATAAGGAGTTACAAGTATCCATAAAAGTAAGGGTAGGATGAATTGCAGAAAAGGCAAAACTAGTTAATGACTTCTCTCCCACTGAAAGAACACTTTAGGAATGGACTGTCTGAAGGAAGTGGAAAACTTGCTGTAAAAATTTGTGTTATTTGAAAAATATCTTTTTTTACTTAATTTTGACTGGGAAAATTCATCCGTGTGGTGGATAAGGTCACAGGTGAGCCATGTTCTAATGAATGTTGTGTAGCTATTTAAAAGCAATAGCTAAAGAATATTTTTCTCTAAGAGGCAGTATGAGGGAAAGGGGAATAAAGTTGCACCCTTTGGTTTTGCTTATGTTTGCAGCAGTCACTGTGAGACCAGTGATTATATCACTAATGTTAGAGAATACTGGTGGAATGAAAACAGCAAATTAATAAATGGCAAAAAATCTGTAAGATTTAAGTGTAAATTGTATCAAGAAACTGAAAGATGGTGATGTAATCCTTGTGCCAAAATCAAAATAACCCAGTCTCAGTCAATGAATATGCACAGTGTATAGTCTGAAAACCAGTTGTGTATTGGTTGTGGAATTAATTCTGAATACAGGAGAAGTCAGACAAAATTATGGTGGTCTGTGACCCACTTTACAAGCAATAAAAGTGAATCTAAAATAGTGTTTGCTCTGAAGTATTCACTCAACTGCCCTGCTTGGTAAAAGATGGAATATTTTCAAAGGGCTTTTTTAACCCACCTGTCCTGCAAGACCTGCTCGTTTACCATGGCAAATGTGTCTCCTACGACAAGTTTGGTTAGAAACAGAAAGGAGTGGGGAACTCAAGCTGGGGTTAGTGGGATTACATAGTTTTTCATCTTTTATGGGCAGAGATTTAATGATAATCCACGCACAAAAGGTATTACTGCTTGATTTCTAATTAGCATTCAGGTCGGGTTTGGTGTATCTTGAGGTATATCTCATTTTGCATGTGGGTGTGAGTCTTCTCTGACACCTCTAAGTGAGCTAGACACCAGCTTCTGCCAGATCAGAGGCTGTGTAGCTTTAAAGCACTATTCTGAAAGATGTTAGCTCTGCAGAAAGGCAGGATATATAAACTTAGACTTAATGCTATGCCACACACATCTGTATCACTCCCAGCCAAATTAGAGAATACAGGTGAACTTCAGTATCCCTGCAAACATGCTGTAGCCATACCTTTTGTCCACTTCCTGGTGAGACTGCTGTTCACATCACAGAATGCCCACCATAGATAGTACTTTAGCAGAGCCTTTGTAAGTACCCTGGGAATTGAACAGGCTGTTTGGAAAAGGCAGGTACATTTGAACAGTGGTTTTTGGAAGTTACAAAAAAGAAAACCACACAACAAAACACCTCTTAGGTGATTGCCTTTCTTTCTCTGAGAACTAAAAGCAAGCTGGTTTGCTATCCTGAGCTCTTTGGTGATGGTAGGCTTCAGCATCCAGTCGTTTAATCCTTCCTGTTATATACATATATGGGTTTGCTATGGGATATGGCAGAATATTTTGGATTGCAGATGTCTGCAGAGCTTGTCCATTATATCCCAGGTGTCCAAAGTTATTCTACACAGTCTAGTTGAGATTAGGATGTAGATTTAAATGAAGGTCAGAAGCCCTAACCAGACTCGGCAGGAAGGAAAGGATATTGGTTTGCTAGAGTAAATTACCCATAGGAAGTGGTGATGCTGACACTGGTTTCATTTTTTTTGAGTGCTGCTAAAGATACTTATCTTTATTCTGAAGGCTTTAGTCTTTTATGGTTTGAATGCTGGCTGTGAAGGAAGCAGTCTCTTTTCTCCATGCTGTATCCAGCAGTAGTGCTCTTCAGAATATTCTGAAGATTTTTGTATCTGAAAACTGAAGGAAAATATATTCTTACTTCTGGGCTTTTTACTAAAACTCATTTAATCAGAGATGTACTGCCTTGAATTTGAATGAATATTTAGAGTGTATTTGCTTGAGTAAATGGAGGGTGTTTTATGTTGCAGAGTAGAGATATAGTTGTTGTTTTGTTGTGGGGTTTTTTTGTCTTCTCCACCCAGAACTGGCTAGAAAGGCATTTTCTAAATGATAAAATAATATCCAAATCTTTTATGATTTATTCTCTCTTACATAATTTAAACTGAAGATTCCTTATTTAAGAAAACCTAAAATGAATTTCAGAGCTTGCGTTATGTAAGTCAGTTACATCAAGCAGAAAAACTGAACATTGCCTTTGGGAGAGAGAGGGAGAAGGGGGAAACAAATGCTTGAAAGCAGAGTCTGGGGAATGGAGGACAATTTGGGAACCAGGTTCTCTGCAGACCATGCTACGGAGAGGCTGGCAAAAGGCACTGGGTACACATGGAGCACCAATCAACCTCAGAGGTTCTCCGTGATTGATTACAGATGCTTATGTATGTATATTCAGTCTGGGAATAATGCTCAGTATTTTCACATGATTTTGTCTTCCAGAATGATTGAAGATTGTGGGAAAAGAGGAAATACCATGGCAGAAAGAAGGCAGCTGTTTGCAGAAATGCGTAAGTACTTCCTAGAAATGTTTTGCTGTGATAGACCAAGCCGGTTGCAATGTAGTGTCAGTAAAATTTATACAGACTTTCCACCCCAGGTATCTGATATCTCCATTTCACAAATGGTTTAATATTGTGAGACGAAAATTACAGGACAATGGGCTGATTTGACCAAATGGCAGAAGAGAGGGATTTTCTATATCAGATTTTGTGGTTGTATTATTTTAATCAGTAGCTTCTTGAAATAAAAATGCTACAATACACAGGTAGCCATGAAGAGGGATAAAGGTCTCCAAAATACTACATCTTCTGTTGGAAATGTCTGTAGTGGGTTGACCCCAGCCAGCTGCTAAGCACAACCACTTGCTTAGTCCCCAACCAGCCTCCAGTAGTATGGGAGAGAATATAGGGAGAGCAAAAGCAAGAAAACACGTGGCTTGAGATAAAGACAGTTGATTAAGTGACTGAAAGAGAGAAAAGAATAACAACAAAACCCAACAGCAACAGGTGATGCAAAGTGGTCACTCACCGCCTCCTGAAAGCAGACCCATGCCCGAGCATGTCCGCCTTGGAAGACAAAACCCCCTACCTTCTACTTGCTCTATTCCAGTGTTATTGCTGAGCATGACATTAATGGTATGGGCAGGGTCATTGTCCTGGCTGTGTCCCTTCCCCACCCCTTGCTCACTCTCAGCTGATCCAGGGAGGGGACAGAGCGGGAAACAAAGGCCTGCAAGCCTTTGTTCTTCAAAGCACTGTTCAGCAGTAGCTAGAACGGTTATGTGTTATCAACACCTTTTTAGCCACAAATCTCAAACACAGCACCATGCAGGCTGCTATAAAGAAAGTTAACTCCATCCTGGCCAGACGCATTATAGGGATTCATATACTATGTACCCTACTTTGGCACATTTTTTATAGTTTCTGGTGAAGCTCTGTGTTCCCTGCAGAGCAGTGTGTCACGGATGTGTTACAGTAACAATGGTCCTGTGATTTTCTTGTCAGTCATCTCTTACAACCAGTCCACCGTTTCTCAAGGAAATTCTATTACGTATCAAGATTGAGAGTGTTACCCTGGTACTAGATTTACACAAGTTCTGTCTGTAATTACTGAACTTTCTATTATTTGTCCCCTGCAACACAGTAAACAATGACAGAACATCTCCCCCATCTTTGAGGGGAGACTGAGATGAGCATTGCAGGGACTTGAGCAACTGTGCACACTGAAAGTCTGGGATTTTGCTGATGAATGAAATGTGCTCAGGACTGTTCTCCAAGGGTGAGCCCATGGGTGACTGAATGCCCTATGTCTGCACTCCTGAGCTCTCCAAATTAAGGACTTCTCATTCATATGGCCTGCTGAAAATGGTCTTGGTCTGTTCCACTGTGTCCAGTAGGTCTGTTGCGCCCTGTAGTTACTTCAGTTGTCACAGAAAGCTTGCTGTTGTAGCTCAGATGAGTATTTCTCTTGTCTCTTGTGTACGACATCTTGGACCAGTGGAGGGAGGGGTTGTTCTTTTGCCACAAGAAAAAAAGAAAAGGAAAAACAAGAAAAAAGGGTGATGCCAGGGCATACTATTCATTAGAATTATAGAGAGGACTTGAGCTTGTATAAACTGAAGTCAGTAGCACAACTTCCATTAATGTAAGTTACCTTGAAACATTCCTAAAATGGAAGATAATTACTTAAGACTCTGCTATGAGGATTTATGGTTTGTTCCCACAGATTTGAAGGCCATTTTGCTGTTGGGTTGTTCTGGGGGAGTTAAGAAGGTGTTGGGAAAATTTACAATCAGTAGTTGGAGGCAGAGGAAGGACTGTTTTCCCGTACTGTACACAAATAGATGTCTACTATTTTTTCTTTCACATTTTAGTATTTTGACATATTTACTTGAGTCTGTTTTATCTCATGTGTGCTTCCCTTTGCTATTTGCCTGCCTCCCTTCCTCCTTCTACACAGGCACACAGAGAACTGGGTTCCAAATAGATAAAAAGAGGGGAGAATATTATCCAGCAAGAAAATAGCAGGCAAAGCTTGCAATGTATCCGTTTATTATTTTTGCAGACTGAGAACAGTGTTACATGAGGTGAGCATATTCAAAGGAAACAGAGTGAAATAGTGCCAGTGGGCAAAAAGAAGGAGAGGCCACTGGCAATCCTGTAGGCAAGTTGCAAATTCACAGGCTTATGTGCTGTGCTCAGTCCTGCACATCTTTCCACTTCTTCTTCAGGGTTTCCCATGTAAGTGAAGTCACTTTTCCACACAAGTTGTTTGACAAATAGATCTCTGACTGTGGCAAAATGTGAATCATGATAAAATTATATTGCCTGTTCCAGGGATTAATCAACAAAAACACCTACTCCCCAAATAATAACAAAATAATACCATTGACTGTGTGTAAGTAGTAAAGGAAAAAAAAAAAAAGGGAGAATAGTCTGCTTAAAAGAGTCTTAAGCAGACTACAAGTTTGTGTATTTGGGATTAATACTGCAACCTCAGAAGCTCAGTGAGCCAGAGCCTCACTTTGCTTTGCACCTTTTCATCTTCTTAAAAAGCTGAAGTTTTATAAAGTAGCACTGGAAGTTTTTATTAGTAGCTTTCACTAAATTTAAGAGGGAAAACCTTAAGTTCATATTACTCATCGGTCTTATTTAAAAAGGAAAGACATAGTGTTGCAGGCATTATCCTCTCCTTCACGAGTAAAGAAGTTCCAAAAGTTGTCAATGAGATTCTCATGGAGAAGAGAAAAACCTGTGTAATTTAACAATAAAGCATATGAGGAGAAAACCAAAGAACTTTCCAGATCTGATGTTAAGTAGTTGAAGGTATCTTCTCCCAGGAGCAGATGGTGTTAAGGCAGATAACTGGCAAAAGGGAGTAGCTGGGACCCCTGGGAAGATGGTGTGGGAGAGTCCAGTCATTAAAAGAGCATAGTCTGGGGAGAGGGGATAGTATCGTTCTCATTTTCATCTTACAGGTCAGAGCACATCTGAAAAATTTGTGTCCAAAGGGTAGCAGATTGTTTGAGAAAGTGTGGGTGAGCGACACCAACATGGCCATATGTACAACAGTGCAGCTGAGGGGGCAGTCTAGTAATGTCAAGAGGAACCTTAAAGAAGGAAGCATTTGTAAAAACAGGGCTACATTCTTTGTAACTTGGTGCCTTGCTCAACTGAATAGAACAGTTTTTACTCCTGTTACAGGGCCAACCATGATGAAAGAGCAAACACACAAAAATTTAATTGAATGTGTTTCCATGAAATGGGTGATAAAATTAATACTCAGACATGTGTTTCATAGTCCATATTGTAGCTATGAGGCAACACTTCATGTAAGACATACCAACCAAGGAGAAAGATTTAAATCCCGATATCCTCATCTACTTGTTGAGGTTTTTGGGGAAGTGTAATAAGGGGAACACAGCAGCAGGAGACCTAAAGACACTGTGCCAGGCTTTGCCCCCATCCTGGTCCCTCTGTACCGCGCATGTATGTGAAATAGACACCAGTCAGTTTATACCCATTTCCTGGGCAGCTGCACTGGAAACATTGCCAGGGACAAGCTATGTGTGAAGCACAGAGCTGACCCTCTGAGGTCTGTCTCTGTTGCAAAGGACATACCAAAATGGAGAAAGGCCTCACACCTTTTGCATTAATTTTGCCCCTTCTGCAGATTGCCATCAGTCTTTACCTTGTTCTGATCTGGCATTTCAGCCAGAGATATTTGTTAATGAGCTTTGCTGTTAAATATTAAAATTAGATGGAGGTTTTCCCTGCTGATGGAGCCTGGCCAAGTGTGTCTTTTAGCCTGCAGCTTGACCAGATTGCTCATGAGTGGCAGACACAGTGGGCTGACTAATCCCTGCCTTCCTTTATAAGTCTTTTAGCACTGTCGCTCCTGCCATTCCCCTTTTTTTCCTCACCTCTTTCTGCTCTCCCTGCAAAGGAGAGAGCCTTCAAAATTGTTAAACAGCTCATGTGTCCTCTTTGTTCTGTGGCTTCCCTGCTAACTAAGATACACACAGGTCACATTCCATACAAATGTTGCTGTTACTCTCTTCCACTAGGGGCTCAAGATCTGGATCGCATTCGTTTGTCCACCTACCGAACAGCATGCAAGCTTAGATTTGTTCAGAAGAAATGCAACTGTAAGTATGCTTCTTTCATATACTATTGCTATTAGCTTTCCACTGCACTCCCCAGTCTGTCCTTCACATAAGTCACAAACTGGATCTCTTTGTTTCAAAGGACACTAATAAGAGTGTTGGGGCAGATTTTAGGTGTTAGCCTGTTTATGTAAGGAACTTGTCTCAAACATGCCAGTGATTTATAGTTACAGAAGGGTGGGTCATGATGCAAGCCACAGCTTTAATTAAGAAGTATTTTAACTACATTCACCAATTTTCTTGTAAAATAATACTCATGGGTTCTAGCAAGATCCTGCAAATTAGATGCTTTTATAGCAACTGCATGAGAAAAAATGGTGGTTCCAGTCCTCATCTATTTGGGGTGCAGCGAAGTAAATGCAGTGTCAGTCAGCCCCCTTTTTTCCAGAATGACGGCTAGAGACATCTCTTCTAAAAGGGTGAACCTGGTTGTAATCTCTGTATGTCTGTCTTCCTACATCTAGGCTTCATTCTTGAGGAGTTTCTCACTTTATTGATGACTATTAGCACAGTCATGTGTTGTGAAATTTAAAGGGAAAATACATATAAAATCTGCAATGGAGTATAGCCTTTCTTTTCCATCCAAAATAGCGTGCAAATACTATGGTGGGTTTTGGTTTGTGTGTTTTGCAGACCTTTTCACACCAAGTCAAATAAGAAATCCTAACCAGGGCAACTCTTGTCAGCAGTAGCAGTAGGAAGAGGACTAATGCAGAGAAAACAAGATTTTTTAGTCTCCATGTCTAGCATGACAGCCTGGCTACTCTTGTGCTACACACAGTAGTAAGTAGTTAAGAAATGCTCACTGCGGATGGAGATTAACTGCCCTGGAGAGAGTTCCTAGTTTTGGGGTTACATCTATCCGCATTATGGAAACGTTTATCTTATGCTTTCCAAACATACTGGAGGGGGCAAGTTGTGGTGGAAAAGACTCTGGAGAATATTTATTGGGTTATTAGCTATGCAGCTGGTCATTTGATCACTTCTGCAGCACATTTCTCATGGTTTTAAATGTGTTTAGCTGGACTATGAATTGAAAGATTAGTATCACATTATAAGCAGGCTGCCAGACACAAAACCCAGGAGGAGTTTAGCACCTGCCCAGCAGCTGGCTTTTGTCATTTAGGAGGAGATGCATTGAATGACACTATTGTGTTGCATTCAGTTGTTCTATTTTGTTAGAAATATATGTGTAAGAGGATGAAATTTTCACTTCATGGTAACAGGATACAATAGTCTGAGGTGAAAAAAGTCTCCAGTTAAGTTGACAGTGATAACAAAGTCACAGTAATTGCTTTGAAGTTGTGAATGCTCCATCCCTGTCAGTGTTCAAGGCCAGTGGGAGGTGTCCCTACCTTTGGCCTAGATGATTTTAAGGTCCTTTCCAACCCAAACCATTCTGATGAGTCTATGATAACTGTATACAAAACAAATAAAAAACCCTTGCAATAGGAGCATCTCTCCCAAGAGAAAAGGTTGAGAGAGTTCAGGTTGTTCAGCCTGGAGAAGAGAAGAGTTCGGGCAGACCTCATTGCGGCCTTTCAGTTCTTAAATGGGACCTATAAGAAATATCAGACCTCCAGCTCATGTCAGCTACTTTTTCTTTTCCCTGCAGAAATTGCCATTGTGCACCACCCAGTAGTAATTTCAGGAGAGAGAAAAAAAGGGAAATGGAGGAAGAAACCTTTCTGCTGCATCTGAGCTCTTTAATTTAGAGGAGAATTTATAAAGAAAAAGCTCAAAGGTAGTTCTGTTCCACTCCCGATGTATAGCACCTCCTGTCACTCAAGCCGTCCTTGTCTTCTTTCAGCTGTGCTCTCCTGTGTGTCCTGGCACACTGGCCCAGCCTAACTGGAAAAAAATTGCTTAGAAAGGGTGTATTTAAGGGGTTCTTTTAAAGAGCTAATTTAATAAATTGCAGGGAGCTGCTCTTGGCTACAGGCTGAAGGTAGGAAGATGGAAGCAGCTGCTCTGAGAGCCAGAAGTGGCTATTCCAAGAAAAACAGAGCATAGGTTTTATTAGCATCATCTTTTTTACCCGAAGGTGCCTATTACCATAGACAGTCATGGGATATCATTTAAAAGGCAGCTACGCTTATCGTAAACACGGCACTGTTTGTTTCTGCTGTCTTTAATGCAGACATAGGTTCATCTCCTGGCCTCCCTTTGTGAATTCTTCTCTCAGTACGAAAGGGATGTTTTGCTAAAACTGTCAGGAGCAGGCTGGATTTTACTGGTGAAGTAGGTGGTGTGCAATAGGTAAAAGTGCCTTCATATTCTAAGAGCCATTCTCTCTTGCAGCACTTCTCTGAAACTAGTTAAGCTGTCTGGCCAGAGATTATAGAGGAGGTGACAGTCTACCACCATTTACCAGAATATCGCTACACATGTTGCACTTTGGGTACTAACACTGTTGATCAAATTAATTGCTCCAGGGAATTATATCATTTTCAGAAGAGGAAGACTATTTTAAAGATTTTTAGCCAACAGTCTTTGAAATTGCAGATATATGTTTTCTGATAATTCTAGAAAACTTGTTAAAAGTATTTATTTTTAAAAATTTCTCCAAATATTTAAGCAAGAGGCAGCTTAAATAAAATAAAAGTGAGAAGAATCAGTATCAGTCATTGCAATTATTTCTCAAACAAGACAGAATTTAATCCAGTCCAACCTCATTCTTCAGAAAAGCAAGAAAATCTTCTTAAGAATTCAGAAAATTATAAGTAGATAAATTGGAAAAAGCTCCAACATTATCTATCAAAGAAAAATTCCTGCAAATTTAAGCTTTCTCCTTTGTCTATGTTAATGCTGCAAGTAAATATCAGTAACGCTTCCAAATTATTGTCGGCACACCTCTGAATCTAAGTGCCCAAACATGGGATGCAGTATGTGGCAAAAGCCCCAAAAGCAGGAGAGCCACAACATTGTATATTCGGAAATTCTAAAAGCTGAGCAGCTTTGTTATTTGACCATGAATATGAACTGATTTTAAGGTTCTCTGTTTCTGCTGGCAGTTTCTAAAATTGAAAGTAATGAAAAGACAAACTTTGTAGGTAATGATAAGTACCTTTGAGGATGTGGTGGGTAGAGAAAGAGATGATTGCAGGTTACTGGCTTCTTACCTTGCAGAACACCTGTAGCAATGGTCCTGTTGCAATAGCAGTAGTCTTCTCTTAGTTACAAATACCAACACAAGATCATAGAATCATAGAATCACAGAATGGTTTGGGTTGGAAGGGACCTTAAAGATCATCTAGTTCCAGCACACCTGCCATGGACACAGACACCTTCCACTAGACCAGGTTGCTCAAAATGTAGATACCTCTTCTGTAAAAAAAAAGAAAAACCAAATAAGCAAACAAAAAAGAAATACTAAAGAAGTCTTGAGAAGATCTTGACATTTGGGCATGAATAATTCCAAGTGAATGACTAGAGCCTTGGCCAGATGGACCCTGAAGAAAACACTGCTGATGATTACCTCATCTTCAGATTTCAGAATGTAAAGCAGGAGTATGTAAGCTGACTGTGGCTGCCCTGCTGGATCATAGTGGATACAGTTGAATATAGTGTAGGAAATAGCAGCACCCTAATCATTGGAGGTTAAATTTCATTATTTGAGATAATCAAAACAGATAGGAAGCAGGTGCAGAAAACTGATCAAACATGCTACATGTTTATTCCGGTCTGTACTGTACAGAGTGTACAGTGTGTATAGCTGACTTCTTCATCATCTAAATTTCCTGAATGTGATTTAAAAGTGGCCCTAAATGGTGCATACTGGAAGAATCAAGGAGGGAGGTGGAAAAACTACAGGTGAGCAACGTGAGCAACAGTGACAGAACTTGCAAACCCTCTAAACCAATGTAGCTCTGACAGAGTCAAACAGTAGGGTGCTGGCCTTCAACTCCAGCATATCAGAGTGAGTTCTGGAGCACCAAGTATACATTCTTACCATACAGAATCCCACTCAGCTGCTTGCCACTAGGAAAATGCCATCATGACAAGGCTGGTTTACAGCTGTTTATCCGTAGCATTCAGACACGGAAGTGTAAATAGGCTTTCCCCAAAAGAAGGCATGAAGGATCAATGACAGCAGTCAAACGTGTCTCTCAACATTCACCAGTATTCAGGAACCACCAAAAAGCACAATTTATACTTATCCCCAGTGATCATTGTGCAGTTGGTTTATTTTATTATTTCATTTTCAGTGAATTTGTTAAGAAGCTGAGATGAAATACATGTTCACATTCAGATTCCCTCTGGGCTATCTATGGTGGCAGCAGGAGTAGAACATAACAACATATCGTAATCAAAGCCATTATACCATTAAACATCACTCACTAGTACAGAACTGTACAGCTGGAAAACTACTGCTGTCCTTGATGAACTTTCCTGACTGTGTTGTGAAATTATTCTAGGACTCTGGCTGCAAAGGCAGATTTTTCTGATTTCCCTAGGTCAGAATAAATCATTGGCAGTTGAAAGCTTGGATCTAAAGCCATGCTGGTGACAGTAATGTGTAGCTTAATTAATGCAGAAAAAAAGGGAGCTTGTTTCTCTGGCAATTTAATCTCAACACCTTGGGGTTTCAGTGTCTTTGTTTCACCCTTCAGTATTCTTCTGTGTGGCTGGGGGGGTGGTGTTGTTTTAGGGGTTTTTTGTGCATTGTCTCATCCAAGTTTTAGTACAGCTGTTTCCACAAAGGCAGCTGCCATGACTGTGATGGGGACCTTGTGAATGTCTAAGGCAGTCTCCTCCACCTCCACCCTGCTCTTCCTCCTACCTCTCTGTGCTTAAATAGTCACAGCTGAGGCATGTAGGCATGTCAGCTTAATTTCTATACATGCTTTCGGGTGGCCCCTGAGCTCATCCGCCTTTTTACATTTGTTTTAAGTTAGAATAATTTCTCACCCTCTTGAAATATAAGAATTTCCCACTGAAAATGAATGACATGATACTGTAAACATATCATATTTAGATAC